AACCCACAAATTTACCAAACAATGCTACTCGTGCTACTAACAAATAGTAATGCTAGGTGGTTTTGTAACACTTTTTTTTAACATCTGTGCTGCCTGCTGATGAGTCCTGAGTGTAAATGATCATTCACTTATACATACCGGTAATGTTAGACTAGTAAGTATAACTTATTTTTTAATCCTTTTGTCTGTTAGTCCTGTTCATATCCAAAAAAATTTTAATCAGTTTGTAGGAGTTATGAGCATCCGTATTGGTATCTGCCATATCTGGTATATTGTTGTTACTTACAACCATAATATATCTTTTTAGAAACAGTTTTCACCTTTAAACAAAATATTTTACTAATGATACTGGGAAGATCCTGATCATATTTTCAGTTTCATGTGGACAAACCTTAGTTTGAAATAACCACCTCAAAAGAACTTAAATAGAACCATACAAATATTACATGCATATATTACATATTACATACTAAAATCACATTTAGAAGAAATGCACCTAATGTGGTCTTCTTCTAATTTTGAGTTTTTGCTGCTATCCAAAATCAAACTTGTGGAACATATTTTATCGGAATCATTTGGCAATCCTTGCAATCTTCTGCTTCTTTGCGTAAATCTCTTCAGCGTTGGAGCACACTCAGCTAGCTGTGTTCCCTTAACGGGTAATTTTTTTTAAATGTTAATGTATTCACATAACGGTTATTTCAAAATTTTAAATGTTGAAAGGAAATCTTCCAATGGAACGTAGCACATGCACAAAATTTATTTACAGGAATGTACATATTATATAAACCAATCACTCATTGTACGTTGGCCAATATGTAGATTTGATATTGAAAGCAATGTCTAGGTAAACAAAACCTATGAACGATCGGCACTGATTTGAATTAGTGTCTCCTTCATGACAGTCTTAAACATTAAAACTCAATATTGAATAAAAGACACTGCTATTTTCAGTGTTTGCTACAGGTTGGCTGTCACTGTGCACAACAGTTCAACATAGAACCATATGGGGAAAAAGCCGAGAACTCTTTTTGTCCAAAAACACTGTCAAACATACTATCCACACTGATCTGTGTCCACACTTGTATGTATAACAATAAAAATAAAAGTAGCAACTATTTCTTTTTATATATTAAAGCTTGTACCATTGTAATGGTGGGATGAATTCTCTTTTTATACCTTAGGATGAATTAATTAAATTGACATTTTACATCGTGTATATAAATGTCGATCTTTATATGACTAAATTCAGTAAACCATGAACTACGGCAAATATTTTGAAATTAGTGTATTGTCTGAAAACAAAATATTATAAATCATTTGATGCTGTCTGTTTTATTTCAAGTCTTGAAACATTGCGCAGCTAAATCTACTGTAATGAATATTAATTCTTCTTAACATATACACATTTTTTTGATATTGTCCAGTATTTACTTATCCAAATAATTTCTGAAAATATTTGTTAAGCGATACTTTGTCTATTTATCATTTGCAATTTATTAATAAGAGAGAAGATTGGAGTTGACAAATGAAATATGTACACGCGGCGTTAACGTGCGTTTACTTTATGTTATGATTGGTCTGAAACCAAATGTAATAGTTTTAATTACAGTTCAAGCTGGGCATCATGCACAATCGATCGCGCGGTACGTTGATTGGTAATTTCCCAACTGAATTGGTAAAATGACGTATAGCTATTGTGAACAGACTGATCAAACAATCAAGTAAAACAACGTTATCTGGGTATCTTTATGTTTATGTCAGCGCATCCACGAAATAAACAATAAATAAGCCAATATTGTCACTAGATGTACGCACGAATGACACTCCATATACCCGAAGGTAACAACCCTGACACAATAGAAAATAACTGTGTACACATGCATATATTTCCAGGGCGGATGCATTAAGCATTATAGATACATAACGCACAGTACCCAAGCTGCACCGAGTACCAAAATTGAACCTATTTAGCAAAAGTAGCAGCGAAAATCTTACAAGTTTTCTTAGGGACTAAACAATTTGTCTTTTTTATCATTTGACATTATGCACTTCTTTCAAACAGGTAAATATATGTAAATATTTACAAAACGGTCACAGTATAAATCAACAGATGAAGTATTCACTGGAAAAAGTAAAATCTACGTAAACGTCGCTATGCGACGTCCACAAAAAGTTATCTTTTGAAAATGAGCAAATGAAATATGTTGCGTTCATCCATTTCTTAAAAATGAACAGTAAGCATGGACTAATGTAAAATTGTTCTTAGTATTTGAAAAAATAAAACAAAACACCTGATATTCGATTTTTAAGGATGGGAATTTAAGCATGGATGCAATTTGGGTACTCCTCATTACAGAATCATGGATAGTTTGGAAGTCGGTTCAAACACATTTTTCTATTACTCAATATGGACTCAAAATTAAATTGATGGCACTATATAGTAAATAAGGATACATCTACAAATTAAACACAAAATGGAAACTTTTGTCTGGATCATAAATAAACGTAGGTGAAAAAAACTGTAAAAGTAGGTGCAATTTGAAAACCCTCACGTTATATACTTTTACTTTTCAAATATTTACCTTCGTGAAGATTCTTTTATTTTGGATATCTACTTATTTAGACACGGTTTTAGTTATTTTAATAACTATTAAGGAAAAGTGTTGAATAAAAAAAAAGTGAGAAAAAAAAAGTGAAAGCATTAATGTTCATTCTTATTAAAATAATTACATGCTTCAACTAAATGCAAGTATATCAATTGGTAAAAGAAATATTATTGTCTGATTATTAAGTCTGGTCCGGTGCGGGCCTTTTGCGCTTTCTTACAGGACATTTGCGCTTAACTCTTAGGACATTTGCGCATTTTTAAAAAAGGACACTTGCGTGTTTTTTCAATAGGACATTTGCGCTTTATCAACATAAAAAAACATTTATTTAAAAAAAAAAACACAAAACTTTCATTTATTTATATACAGCTAAAAGCATCAACCTTTCCCTATCATGCTTGTGTCAGATAAAAACGACAACACTCAAAGAGGGTGGATTTGAGTAAATTCCTTATAACAACAAAGAGTCTTTCTAAATGTGGACAGGTACAGCAGGTGGTTTCAAAATAAAATTTTGGTCTTCACAATTGAAACAAGCTTAAATATACTATGACGCCACAAGTCCACGGAATATTCAGGCAACAGAATAACCACAAGAGGAATATAGTTTCAAATTATAATCCACAAATAAGAAAGCTAATTGAAGAATTTCGGTAAAAATTTAAATGTTCCATCCATTAAAGTTTCTTTTTTTTTTATCGTTTACTTAGAAACGCATACTTTATTTTTATGATATGTCTGGTTCACCCGAATAATTTTTTTCTGATATTGTCGTTTGTTCGGAAGAACTTTCAAAGAATATATGTGAACATCTTTCCATGACTTTGGTAAATTTTCTAAAGATACAAATAAACTATTATAGGTAAAAAGCGCGAATGTATTGTCAATTTTGTTAAGGTGTATCAAAGTTTAAAGCGAAAATGTCCTTAAGTGTTACAGGTAAACAAGCGAAAACGCTCTGCGTCCGTCTCAGTGGTCACGCCTTGTCTTTCACGATTATGATAATGCGTTGCTCGATCTTTCACGATAAGTTTTGATGGAAAATCAACAAAATTCGATGTTTTCAAAAACAAAATGAACGATTTCAAGGGAAAAAAACTTATATTTTACTGTACTATTTGACACACCAAAAATTCATAATAATATATTGAAATGTGCCCATTATATGTACACAACGTGTTTTATTCATGAATCCCATAGACTAGTGTTGAGCCTTATGTGTTTTCTCATAAAGTAATGTGATTCTAGCGTATCAAGTGCACCCATGTTTGAAGATACAAATAGAGCTGAGGCATTGATTTTACAGCTATCATCAAACTTTTCTAATATGATTGCAATATTGGATAAGATTATTAGCAATTGGAAACTAAAAGGGTTTCAAAGAAGCTGTAATGGACAATTTCTGAAATGATAGACAATAAAATGAAAGAAAACTTATTGAAGTCAAAACAGAAGTTAAACATGAACTTGATGATAAAATACATGTAAACATCAAGCAGTCTAAAAGCATTTTTTAATCTTCCATTTCATCAGAAAGAAGGCAAAAAGTAACAAAAATCCGAATGATTAAAAAAAAATTTCGTTTTGTATGTATTTAACCCAAGTGGAAAACTACTTTTTCATTTCATTTAATCATTTTTTTAAAGAAATGAATGCTTCTTTTTGTATTTTTTTGGGATATTAAGGGTGAAAAAGTGTTGACCGAAGCACATCTAATATGAAGAGCGGAAGTGCTTTATTCTAAACATCTGTGTACGATCAAGACTTGTACATCCAAATTACAAAAAAGCATTCATTTCTTATAATAACATTTGTATGCTAAAAAGATAATGACACACATTTTTATCAAGTTTTTCGTTAAATTACATGTACACTTGTTTGTGGAAGCACGTGTTATATAAAGGTTGATTTTTGAATAACGCGTAAATGTTGTTAGCTAATGAATATAACGGATTCTCGTGAACCATGCATGTAATGTAATTATTTAAAGATTAACGCTGTAATTTGCACTGCCGATATAACTGTTATATTTGCCACTGGACATATAACAATAGTTAATGAATTCGATTATGTTACGAGTTTCTGTTTAAAAATAACATAAAAACCCACCAAAAAATTACATGTAATACAAGCCTTATTAAAATGTTGTCCATACCCCCTCAAATTCTAATCATTTGTACTCTATTCAAATTACAACAATGAACAATCAAATAATAAACCGAACACTCTATTTTGACCATTTTAATTTCTTGAACTATTCATTCTATCAAACCACAATATTATTGTAGAAACTATCCCAGTATTTGTTTTTTAATTTATATAACAAAATGCAAAAAAAAAAAAAAGATTTGTGTTGTACAAAATCAAAATACAAACATTTCAAATGTCAAGGAAATGATATATTAAACGGTAAAATTAGAAATCAAATTTGTATGTGAAATATATGTTTCTCTAATTGTCATTATTGAATAATGTTAATATGTTCAATATAACAAAATATTCCAACTGAGTAATCGCATTTGATATTTTAGAGATGCACAGAAAAGGAATTGCACTCAATGGAAAATTGGAAAATATTCGTTTTTACCCGCTTGGATACTATTGGTGAAAAACAATTATCCAAGATTTTATCGGAAAACACATTGTGGGTTATTTTGTTGAATTTTAGCGAATATGATACTGTATTTCATACGATGGAATTACAACTCTACAATATAGCTGTTTGTTAATAATGAGATATTTGGTGTTCATTGTATTACTACGATCCACATTTTTAGAAAATCCAGTATCAGTCGTTTTTTCGTTTTTCGTAAGTTTTCTTTTATTCAATATCGCGTTATGTCCCTTAGAATTATTTCCATGGGTGAACCCTTTTTAAGAAGTGCCAATGGAAATATCCAAATGACAAAACGTCAGGATGAATCCAAATGAACAATAGAAAAACTCTCCATTCCTGAAAAATAATTGAGATTTTGAACAATAGGTTTACGTCACAGGTGTAAATTAAAACTTTTTCACTTTTTGTATCATATTTTATGAAAAAAAAAATCATCCTGATGAACTGGAGATATTATGGTCTCGATTGTCGTGTCAAGAAACAACCTGATTGTTTTACTGTATTTATAATTTATCTACATGTATAAAAACCAACTGTCAGTTTTATAATGAACACTATATTTACCAAATGCTTCATAATAATAAACACAAAGAATTGTTTTGACATATGACTTTCATATCTTACACTATTTTCAGAAATACAATTGCAAATTAATAATTTGTTTTTCTTGAAAAAGAAAAATAGAACAAACATTTACCTAAATTGGTTGATAATTTTACTGAGAAGCATTCATTTTCATAACAATATCACTTTTAATACATGAATTTATTGTTTGGTGTATCTATCCTCTTTTTTGATTGTTATTTTAGAACATATCAAGTACTGTCGCTTTTCGTTGAGATGCATTTTTTTTTATGTGCGAAATGTTTGTTCGATTAAATCATATTAAATCTTTTATTCATGAATAAACCGCTAAGTGTAGCATTTTAAAAGTAGTTGTGAATGGAGTTTAAAAAAAAATATTATGACAGTTGACAGCTCTCTGATCTGTTTTAAAAAGTGAGTTTCCCCTTATATGATATACGTTTATTGATCGGTGTTTAAATATTATTCATATAACATAACCGTAGGTTGTCTATAATGCTTCCAGTAAATAGGCATCATTTGTTAAATAAGTAATGCTACAACTATACTAACATTTGATCTGAAACGGTTAGTTCAATCATTACATCAGCTGGAATAAATTAAGCAAACATATTCATCCTTGAAAACTTAGTTCTGAGTTTCTTCCTTTGACAATTTATTTCAAGTTTATAAAACACCAAAAATAACCAAATATGGTCAGGGCGATTGTAGATAATCTATATATATATGGAAGCTAACGATCATTCTCAATTTTGAGTTAGGAGGTCACTATTGATACTAAAACATGAAAGACTGGTTACAACCTCTTCGTTAAGGTCTATAAGATCACTTCCGACCAAAGTAACTGTTTCATTTAAAACAAAAATCCTTCTTTTCATATTGGCATGATTGGAGAACAGTATATAACTTTGACTGAAGTTAAGGTTATACCATTTTCAGTCAAAATTAATATTTTATCAATTATCTAGATTTGTTCTATTTGACCCTTGTATGAATGATGCTTATAAACTGTAATTTGTGTAAGTTCCAATTTTAAGATGCAACATGTTTTACAGTCATTTCAAAAATGGAGTGTCATTAACTTTGAAATCGAAGTCATAATTTCATACTATACTGCAATAGAAATATGCCATTTATGGAGGAAAACATTTCTTAAGTTGTCTTTTGAAGTTTATCTTTTGTGCGTTGCTTCTTCGACATTCTCCCTTCATGTTTTTCTTCTGCTATTATCTCCTTTGCAAATTGGCGTTGCTTCTTCAACATATCACTCCTATCACCTATAACAGTCAGAATATCTTGCATTGATATATTTATACGTATTTAAAAAAATCAATAGTGATTATCGTGTTTTAAATATTCATCCAATCTTTCCATTTTGTGATAATTGTGATCATTATCATGTTAAGAAAATATCAATTTTCATGTGTTTGGCTGAGGCTGTTAGAATAAGGACCAGTTACAGAATATGAAAGACATTTTTATAAATCTATTGCAGAAATGTTTGAAATATCAACAAGAAATGATTATACATTCTTCCTTAGAATTAATTATTAATTAAAATAGCCTCACACTAGCACAACTGTTATACTGTATCAATTACAATTCGCCTCAACATATACCAGTGTTTACTTAGTTCTCTTAGCAACATATACCTGGATATATAGATATATATATATTGGACAGAAGCTTAACCGTCGATTTATGAGGATTACGTATATTATTATATTCTCTTTCATAATGTGTTAATCGGTTTGTATGTTTTAAAGTCGACAAACAATGCATTTATTGTTTATAGTCATTCAGATTAACAAATGCTATTCACTAGATACAATGTAGATTATTGCCAAACTAGAGGACCGAACATGTAATATTTTATTTGTTCTATTCACCCAATTTGTTATATTGTACAGTGGATGTCTTCTGCAGCTTTCATTATATTCGTAAATACTTCTATCATTAACTCACATGTACATTAAATTACCTTTTGCTGTTTTCTTATAACATGGACAACATGGACATTTTGAAGTATACCATACGAAACTGAAAATTCTAAATGGAAAATTGAGTGGTGAAGGTATTCTATCTTCGAAATCAATTATAACTGAATGCCGATAGTAACGCCATTTCTGTTCGGAATTTTTTCGAATTTCCTTAAACCGTGCACTGCAACAAAAAAAGAGAATTGTACATACAACGCACCATCAATGAATAACAAAAATACTAGAAATCTTGTATTCAAATTAATTCCTTACAATCCGATTTGAAAAATCGGCTAAACTTCATATATTTTAGAGATATTTATTATCATGGCATACCACGGCGTTGTCTGTTGCTTATTAACTCCTTAATTTGAATATTTCTTTAACAAATAACTGTCTCTCTTTTATTAAAATATTTCTTTTGTAACTTCGAAAGAAATAAAATCTTTAAAAGATTACTTCACGATTGTGCCTGTATTGTGTCTGATAACACCGATTTTGCAGTTAACATAATTCTAAACAGTTACGGAAGTTTCATTATCGTTAGGATTATTTCAAAAGTTAATTATGCGCACAGTTTGGTGGAATTATATAGACAATATCCTGTTTTATATAGGGATAAAAAAATATATATATATAGTAAAACCAAGAGATGAAATTGCTATCTCAAATAGAGTCCAATCATTTCAACAGCATGGTTCTCAGTTTTTCACTTAAATTGATTTATTAATTCAAGGTTTTAAATTAATGGTATTTCAATTTATCATAAGCTAACTAGGAAAGAGGTAAAATCAACATCCCCTCTTTACCTCCCCTTTCTTCCACTTCAGACTATCAAATTTAAAATAATTTTATGTATGTCACTCTTTCCACTAGTAGATAATACAGTATTAGTTTATACTGTATTTCTAAACATTAATTGCAATTTCAATTTCTACTATTAAAGACATAAAATCTTATTTGAATAACTGTCCACATGAACAAACAATAACATCGACATATTGTTAACTTTTTATACATTGTGACTTTGATGAAGAGTTTTCTCATTGGCACTCATACCTCATCTTCTTATCTATATATACTATTTAATTACAAGTCTAAATTGTAAACAACGTTCAAGCTATGATTGCGTTGGATAAAAACCGCAATTTTTATACGTGTGCATGCAAAACAAATGTCTTGGTAGATGGGTCTAAATACAGCACAAACAACATTTTCATAAAGACCAAAAAAGTGAAAAAGTATATTTTAACGAAACGCATTTGACTAGCAGGTCGAACAACGGATGTTCTTAAACCCTGCTGACTGCCATTGGCGATTGCCAAATAAACGGATAACCAGATGTAACAGAATGGATCTTAACTATTAATTTAATACCAAACAGAAAACAATAAACTTGCGGGAAAGACGGTATACCGCAAACAAAAGGTGCAAAAATTAGTACACCATATCCGGATTTCGACAATCAATGTCTCTTCAGTGATGTTAGAATCGAAACGGTATTTGGAAGTCCAAGTAATTTACCTCAATTTAGGATAGACTCTTGAATTTTGAAGAGTCGAAATAGGATGAACGGATCATATAAACCCGCAGGCAAATATAATACAAGCCTATTATTGTTTTCTATTTGGTATTAAATAAATAGTTTAGATCCATTTTGTTACATCTGGTGATCCGTTTATTTGGCAATCGCCAATGGTAGTCAGCAGGGTTTAAGAACATCCGTTGTTCGACCTGCTAGTCAAATGCGTTTTGTTAAAATATACTTTTTCACTTTTTTGGTCTTTTGAAAAATACTATTCAATTACTACATTGAATACACAATGGTATAAAATACCTGAACATTGCAATTACAATATTCAATAACAACCAGTTTGTCAACATCATATAAAAAGCAGCAATTACTGGTGTTATCCAATCTCCTGCTGCACAATTTGGAGCGTCATCCTTGCAACCTGAATCGTCATTGCCTTAAAAAAACAGGTTTACGGAATATATCACTGAAACAATAATCATGATAATGTAAAGGGAGAACAAATAGAAATAGATAGAAACTTAAATTTGAATTATTGTCCAGCACGACAATCTTCCGAAGAAAAATATTTATATAGAAGATTGTATTATATTATGGTTAGCACTTTGTTTTTGAACAGGTTACAATGATGTTTAAGAAAAATGTAAGAATTTGTTTGTCTGGTAATGACTTACGAATATATACCCTTAGATATTATACGGACGTCTCCAAGCAAGTTTAAGGACATTATTGTTTGACACAGTATATATACATATTTCATTAAAAAAGTGGTTTACGTACTAAATTTCTCACATTCTATCAATAAACTATGTAGCAAATTAGCCTTAATATCAGGTTTATAATTGCATATGCAATACGACGGCTGCCACTTGTGCAGCAGGATCTGTTAATCATTCCGGAGCACATGAGATCACCCATGGTTTTTGGTAGGGTACTTCTTGTGCAGTCTTTAGTTTTCTATTTCGTATTTTGTATACTGTTGTTTGTATTTTGGACTTGTTACCTTTTTTGCTATGGCGTTGTCAGTTTATTTTCGACTTCCCTCTTTTAAGTTTGTTCCTAATTTTAAATCATATTCTACTTTTGGCATGATTCTTATTGTGGAATTGACCCTCAGCTAAGACTAAATTCTGCTAGACATGTTGATTGAAAAAAATGTTTACACAAGTGTAATTGTAACAGATCAGATATAATATCTATACACACTGAAGTATAAAAGAACTCATAAAAGGTTCTGGTATGGTGTAAGACATTTTTCTGAAAGGAAACTCTAAAATAGCTAAACTAAGTTTTACTCAAAAATATGCTAAAATGGAATTAAAACCTTCTAATGTATCCAGAAATAGTTCGCCATAAACCTGCCAGTATGGAATTTGAAGAATTGTCAATGTTCTCCAATACTCCATATTACTTGGTCCTGTTACTGTATGGCTTGGATAAACATTGGCATGGTAAACAACGCCAGCAGCAAATATAAGGATGGTAAGTATTACCAAATACTGCATCAAATCAACAAGCTGAAAAATAAAACTCTGTTTGATCTAAACATGCTTAGAAGTACACTTTTCTGTACGGATTTTAAGCCACTTTATGATAAAAAGTAGCTACCCATTGAAAGGTTGGATCCTATAGAAAAGGGTGTATCAAATTTATAACATGAGCTGTACTTATTATCTAGCATTTTGACAATAAATATATACCCAGTAATACTGGAGACCAACATATTTAAACCTTCAAACTTATTTAGAAATAAAAGAGCTGATTAAATTAAAAAAGACAAAATCTTAACCGGATAAGGAACACATATGTGTTAGATATAGATATATTTCTCAAGCTATAAATGAACAATTCAATTTTTAACTTCAAGTTAAAATAGTACATAGTATTCATATTTGCATCAAAGTGCCAAAAGTACTGAGTCCTGTACTGGGTACCGACAGGAACAGTTTATCAGCAGATAATTCGACCAAGTTTTAGTTTTAACATAAACTGTACCAATTTTACTGAACATGATGCGCATGTCGACAAAAACTGTCTCTTCGGTATATTTATCCTTATATATTGATGTCTGCTAATGTTTTACTTTGAATTAAAATAAACTGACCTCAAAATTATAACAATTGTGAATTGTGTTACTGTTTACATGCCGCCGATATATCGATACCTGAAGAACGTACTTTGTTATCCATTCGTTTGATGTGTTTGAGCTTTTGATTTTGCCATTTGATTAGAGAATTTCCATTTTGAATTTTCCTCGGAGTTCGATATTTTTGTTATTATTACTTCTTGCAAGATAGTTGAGATCTCTTGATTCATTTCTGTTTGGTAACATGTTTAAACAGACTGTTATGATTTACGCTTGCCTTTGAATTTTGCATGATTATCGCATGTCGGATGATGGGTTATTGCAAAATGCTTTGAGTTTATGCGAAAAGGGTGCCTACATCCATAATCGATAAATCAATCCGTGTATATATGATGTATTATGAACATTTGATTAAACAGTTCTGTTGTATGGTAAATTTTGCAATTCTTCAAAATCTTTTTTTTTTTCAACTGAACCCATTTTTTTTATCACGTTTTCACATATGATAGCAACAATAGAACAACAAGTTCGTTTGGACAGATCTTTCTTACCAGAGCGCACACAAAGACCATATTGTATCTAAAAGATAGTCAATCGAATATTTCAGAAAATTATTTTTAAGAACAGATGTCTTGTTGGTCACATCGTATCTCTCCAAAAATCACGTGACTAGAGAAAACAAATGATAGAATAAGAAATTCAGCCGGGAGAAATCATGAAGAGACATACTATAGATCTGATAGGATAAAGCTTTGGTGCAAAAACAATTATCCAAGTCTTTATATCATACACATTGCCACAAAAGTAAAGAAAGAGGAAATAATTTCTAAATGTCTTAAAATATTAAAGCCCGTTATATAAAGAATAACAAATTTCAGCAGTTTTGACGTCAAATTCAAACACATGCAACAAATTTTGTGTGAATTCTGTTCATTCCTGCAGTAAACAATATTTGGAAATTACGATGGAGGATTTCATTAATTGCAAATAATAACTTGGTGTTGCGGCGCTCCCTCGACAGTAATAACTAAAGGGATGTTGTTACATAGCACTCGATTTTTAAAAACTTAATTAAATCCTTCAATTCGAAGACGAAATAATGAATTGGAAAACAAAAACTATTTCATGTAACAATATTAAGTGCTTTGTTTCTCATTTTGTACTGTCTCCTCATGAATATACTATATGCATAACAGAGATTTTTCGTCGTTATTAATTTGGTTGTCTAGGATTTATTATTATATTTTCTACGGACTGTTCAATTCGTTTCATGTGTTTGAGCTTTTAATTTTGCCATTTGATTAGGGACTTTCCGTTTTGAATTTTTCTCGGAGTTCAGTATTTTACTTTTTTTAACCTTAAGTAGGATAGTGCAATAATATATCAGACATTGTAAACAAAGGCAACTGTTACAGTAGTATACCCTGTTCAATAGTCATAAATTAATTCAACTGAAACAAGTCCGGGTCACAAACCAAGACCAAGGGAAACACATCAACTTTAAGAGGAAAACAACTGAACAACAGAAACACTGAACTGCTACAAAACCAAACGCCAAAATAAAATAGAACCGGACTGCAATATTCCTGACTTGGTACAGAACATTTAAAGAAAACACAATGGTTGGTTGAACCTGGTTTTATGGCTACCCAAACCTCCCGCTTATATGGCAATGTTCAAAATATCGTTAAAATGACAACATTAGGTGACAGGGTTACCGTACAAATAAACGCAAGAACACTCAGGACAGATACATACATAAATAGATAATATAATACATGATGTAAAATTTTCAGAAGCATGTGTTAGCCATCTCTGCAATTTCAACAGAGACATTTGCATTCACATATTTTATATGTCTCTAATTTCGTTATAACAGATCTTCAACATTTGCTTTACTGTAAAAAGTACAATGCTTCCTGACGAACAAATACTACTGACCAGATCAGTCTATTGAGTAAAAAGGAAAAATGTGAACACATTTTAATAAGATATAATGTTTTCTCAAAATTCCCAAAAGTAAAAAGAAAAAAATAAAGAAAGGTTATATATGACTAATATTTGTAGCAGAAATAGGTGTTAAAAGTGTGTAGTAGAAAACATTTTAATTGTATTCCCCGGTTACAATATCTGAAGGAATGCTTCTGAAGAAATACATTTGTTATCTTGTTGCAATCAGGGGTGTTGGGAATTTTACACCAGTGTGCACCCCTGATTACACAAAGATAACTTATGTAATTGTAATTTTAGTAATATTCTTCATATATACAAATAGTATACTTTACAAAACTCTATATTTTGTTAAAGAAAGACGCGGCTCGATATTAAACAGTAAATGATAAAAGTTTGAAGTTCAATGAATCACAATGATGGTATATATAGTCTTAATTACAAGCCGTTAACCACATATTTACGTACAAAACATATCATAGATATATAACTTAACGCAAAACCATTAACTGCAATCATGGAACATTGATACGACGGTACAGATAGGAACTTTAATGGATGTTATGCTGTTTTGTCGCTTTTGTTCAAAGTGTAATACCATCAGAATTTGATACTCGCCGTGTCAGAATTTAATAATTTCAATTCGATCACTACTAGCAACAGAAACATTTCATCAAACTAGGTAGGCTTGATAAAGGCACATTGATTTATTTTTTGTATATATATGACGTACTCACCATTTCTTTCACCATTATTATGATTATACCAAACCGTTTAGACAATAATAGAAAGTTTAAGAGTCGAAGGAACATGATAAACAAGGCTAAGCTGTAGATTCGCCTAGTATGTGCTATCAAGTCTGAGTCCAAAATATGCAAGCAAAATCCAAGTATGTACAATATGAAGCACAAAAAGTCCAAAGTGTTCCAAATATTAAATATGTGGAGAAATATTCTCTGTGGTGACCAGTGGCAATCTTTCTGCGGACGAATCTGTAAAGGAAGCAAGATAAGTAACATACCACAATATATTACTGTCATTAGATTGTGTTTACCCATTTAGAGACATGTAATTGAATTGAACATTGTGTTATGATGTGACTGATAACATTCTGTAATATTGCGTAAAGGAAATGAACTTTCTTTAAAAGGTACTTTCATTTTCATATCCATTGGTTTAACAAAGAACAACAGGCAAATGGACAAACTGTATATCATACCTAAACAAATAAGTACCCATTGTAAAAGATCTGCATACTGATTTTCAAAATTTTAAATTGAAGAAAATATTTACGCTTACCATGCTCCATATTTCCTCTAATAAATCACCCAACATGTATATGAAGATCAAACCTTCTAGAAGATTTATTGAACCAGGTTGCAGGTCTCGAGTGAGGAAATAGCTGAACATGATTAAAGCCGCGATGAAAAATAACTGAAAAATGATTTTATTATTTGTTAAGCATACAAATGTTGTCAGCTTAATTGTGGTCCTCAAAATCACAAATTGACTAGAAACCCGTATATAAAAAAAAAAAACATTTTTAAAGTGAATGCTCCAGGTACCAGCAATTACTTTAAGAAAAACTTTTGAAAAAACATTGTATTTCTATATTGTGAAAAGTGTCATAAATCTTAAATATTTACCAGCAGAAACAATTCAACTATGTCTTATATAGAAAAAGTTTCACAAAGGAACATTCTTTGAATAACTCCGGGTATTGAGATCACAATGATAAGTGTTTGCATATCGGTATCAGGGTATTCACCATGATATCATTGAATATACATTATGATATGCAAAACTGGTTAGGTAAATTTGTTATCATTTTATGTCATTTTTATCACGAATGAAACCGGTGCATAATGACTGTTGTTCCAACGGTATCCACAAGCCCCTCAACAAAGAACCTCGGGACATATATCAACATAGAAAAATGATGACGAGCTACGATTCCCAACCCTTGTTTTTCTGAGCCATTTAATGCTTATATTATCTTTTGGGTTTCAAATGTATGACATCGGGCATCATTGAAAAGATATTATAAATCCAAATGCACACTTTACGTTATCATTACTACATGTACTATGTTGATACAATTATGACTACTGATACATTGTCAGACCACGTTGGTACTCCGACCTCAGGATTAGTACTGGCATTAAATACTCACTTTTACATAAACAGAAATTCATGTATCAACAACATATAGTTTTTTAAGAAAAATCTATGGAGTAGAAATTTTAGATTTTATGATTTTAAGACAAATTTAAGAACGTTTTTACTTATTGTTTGTGCTTTCTTCACAAATATTCACCTATTTTGAAAGAATTCAATCAGTAATATTTCAGAAATTAAAAAAGATAAAAGCATTATTTTCCCGGTTTTCAGTTATAGTCCAACGAGCCAAAGATGTATGGAAAATTTTACCAAAATCTGTAACATAGCCCATTTACTGTAACTCGACCTTTAGTGTTTTTCTTTCTATATCGTTGTGTTTTTTTTCTTTCTTTTATATACCTGTTTCTGCATTAGAACGGATTCATTATTATTTAAAGGAATTTTCTGAAGGGTCATGCTTTGGCATAATTTGAAATCAAATATCCTAAAAGGTACATTTTTTTTCAATCCTTGAAAATAGAATACACGACAATAAACAAATCCACAGTAAATCCACAGTAATCATCTAATTATAAAAAAAGATCAAGTATTGTGTTGAAGTTTGTATGTATATCCATATGGCACTTTGTTAAGTGTGTGGTGCTGGCGCTTTTATATTTACATGGCATACCAAATACCTAACTCAGTAAATTGTCAATTTTATCCCCATGCGTATATTTTCCGATGTGTCATGAAAGTTGAAGAATATTTTTGATAAGTTCTAAACTCACTATGTGAATAACTATTTTTGTAACTGGTGCTGTAAAAATTGCTATCTTAGAGTTTTTACTCCAGTGGTTCTGAAATAAAAAAAAACAAACACGAAACCCGTTAAATGGATAAATGCTGCTCTAAAGTAATACTTAGTTACATGTAACAACTAGAATTTTCTTATAGTACACTCAGACAAAATAGAAAAAGAAAGCAATTTTCTGACGGCCTTGCAAACCTTAGATTTTTATGAGACCCATTGTTTTGATGGATAGGAAGTGGCTAAGATTAATACAAAAAATGTTTGAATTATATATAATATGACGTTTTATGTTCGCTTTGTATCGACAGCAGTGTGTTACCGAACATATACTATATCCGGAAGAAAATGAATCAGTAAAATATTTTTTTTTTGTGCAAAAAAGGATGGTAAAATATAAAAAAAAGTAAAAAAGTTCGATCAAAGCAATACGTTTTGCAGAAATGGTTTCGAACAAAACCCTGCAAAAGACAACCTGTCGTAGTCAATCGTTATCACTTTCATTACCCACAAAATTCTTAATCTCAACTTAAAGTCAATTTGTCTTGACCAAATTTTTTTTTTAGTTTTGCTAAACTATTTGATAAAACAATGATTTTAGTTATGTAAAATTACAATAACACGTTTTATTGTTGTTGAGAAAAGTACGCCTGTGAAAATAATGTTAAACAGTTTATTTTGATTGTGTATTTGCATTGTTGGTGATTCATAGAAAGGCAATTCAAAGCTCTTCCTTTTAAAGTTCATGCGATTCCCACTATTTTGATTGTTGTATTGATATCTATATGTCACTAATCGAATCATGATATTTGAACATCGGTAAAATACTGTTGCCTACATTTAAATGTTACGGTAGCGTTTTTTTTTTTTTTTTTTTTTTACATGTAAAAACTCTAAATCATGAACACAATTATTTTGTCTGTGAATTAACTGTATAAGTCATTGTAGATATTAGACATTAGTTATCACTTAATGAAAAGAATATGTCTGTGTTAACATGCATGCATATGTTGGTTATTTGTGTTCATAGGTTGCTTTAAATCTTAATTTTCTCCTCATTCTCCTCCGTCTATTCATATGTTTGGTTTGTATGTTTCTAAGTAATAATACAAAAATGTTTCAAAAATGTATAATGACAGGAGTTAATGTGTTATTACACACATTGCGCAATTTTACTAGTACAAATGCCATAAGATTTTCATGTAAAAATCACACCTGAGGTGACAGATGGAGTTTTTGTTAAGTATGTTAACACACCTTTATAAATGAAAACCACCCACTTATAGTAATCGGATAAACGCTGGTTGTAGTTGTCAATTTGTGTTTCCTTGAAGGAGCTTTTGCAGTAATTGTTTCATGTTTTATATCTGAATGAACGTCTTCAACTGCAGCGACGTTATACGAAAACAATCTCTTGCTTGCATCTTTCTGATTGGAAGAGTGAGATATGAATTCCTCTATATTGAATTGGTGTCCGAAGTGCAGAGGACTTTCAATATGACCCCACACATCACAGACGTTATCAAGAGCCTCTATAGCCATTTGTTCATCGTCAGCAAACATTTTTTCCAACAGACGAACGGCCCGTGATAAAAATAACCTGTAAGAATCACAGGCAAAATTATCAGGTTTTTAATATTTGAGAGTCTGTTATTTAAATGTAGTTGTCGGCCGATGTCTAAAGAAAAATTTCGTTATTCTTTTACATTTCATCATATATGGCCTTTTATATAATACTATACGGTAATTGTCTTGCTTATTAGAGGTAATACGGTGACTTAAAGCTGCTTAAACCGTTATTTAGTTTATGGTGGGTAGTTGGCGAATCACCAATCACCACTTATCTTCATATGTAAAAAATGAATATGATAATGTAAACACACCTTACATTTTGTAGAACTGCCATTTAGTTTTACTCATTTGCTATTCATTTGTAGAACACGTGCATAATTTAAAAATCAAAATGCACAAATCAACAGGAATAGGTCTCGAATATCTGAGTTAATTTGTACAAGGTAAGTATCAGAGACTTGTATATTCATATTGATTTGTAATCAGTTCTCTATATTTCTTTTGATATGATATTGTTAACAATTTACGTATAATGTCAAAAACTATTAATTTTTTGTCGAGCTTTTTTGCTATATATACAACAGTGCAGGCTTCTCAGAATAGTTAAAAATCTAGAAAGGCGCTTCGGACGTATGGCATTTATAAAGTGTTGTTTTCATGTTTTATCTTTGTTCGCAAATTTGTTTCCTTTGCGAAAACATACACAGTTTAACATTTCAGCAATACACTTACTTTGCATGAGACTGGTATTCATCCTGGCGGTTTTCCTCAAATTTTTCCTCCGCAATGTTTGCCAAAGAGGTAAGATACATGATTGAAATTAGGGCAGTCACTGAAATGAATCATCAATAATCGAAACTATGTTTTCCATGATAATTAGCAATACCTTTTTTCAAAAGGAGAGCCTTACAATATATGTTACCGAGAAAATCAATCATCCTAGATAAACTGACATAATGTTTACGTAATGGATGTGTTTAATTATTCAGAAAATGAATATAGTAAAATGCATGCCTAAAACAAGTACTCGACAAAAAAAATAAAAAAAAGTTATATAAATTGAGTACATCCGAAAGAAAGTATGAATAAGATTGAGTCCATGAGACATACCTTGAGTTGAATATTTTTATTTGAAAATACAATTTATTCTATCTTTTGAAAACGTACCACAAAAATAAGGCATATAACCCTTCAAACCAATGATGCCTTTCTAGACATCAGTTTCTTCAATATGTTATAAGAATTCATCTATAATATCAGATGTTTTTGATGAATTAAAATTGATTTTATGTACTATTTTGTTTTGAATAGTTTTTTTTTTACGCTCAACCAATCCATAAGACCAAGATCGAGTGGTTGAACATGGTATTTAATTGAGATAAAGAAAATCCTTTAGTCGTATTTCTGACTATTTATATAGCGAAATATGTTTTATTTTGCTGTCTCAAAGCAATGATAGTTTTCATTCATACCTATGTTAAATATCCTTTAAATAACAATAATTGAGATGGTTTATTGTAAAAATGTATGCTTTCAGTCGTGTTAAATTTGACGAGGATAGCCATATTGCTTTTTTTAACAAACCATTCATGTGCATTGCCTCATTTTCTTTCCCATTTCATAATTTTGCAAAATTGGGAATATTTTAAACATCTGCCATATATGAAACAAAGAGGTACATGTAGTTATGATGACCAGTCTTGAAGAATAAATTACACGAAATTCCTATTATTTGTCATCGTAATGGCACATTACATATTGCCATTTTTATTTGTCTATCTACGGTTCATTTTTTTTTACATTACTAATATTTCGAAATGGTAGATATGAACCCTGATATATGTTTTCATGCATAAGTGTAGGTGCAGCAGGCTCTAGAATATAAAACACATTCGTAAATAGGAAGAGTAACTACTAATAATTTGAAGTGAGGAAGTCATTAACGCAAGATGTGTTGCAAACTTAGTTTGTCTTTGCATGGACATTTGTTCTCGTCAAAAGTCAAAGGATAATGTATTGGTACTAAGGAGTTTTTCCGCATTTTATCTTCATGTTCTAAATGTGATATGAGTGGAAGTTCGGCAAAATAATATTTTCTTGAATCGATTTGAGCAAAATTATTTGTCAGCTGTGGATCACCCTATTACAAGCGTCACGTAATAAATCAAATTTACACATACATGTATGGGTGCATTTGAATATAATTAAATTTGTTTACACCTATTATTGAATATCATATCTACAGGACTGATATGCAAAAAACTGCTTAAGTTAAGATTTGGTACGGAAGGACGGACCTTTCTTCATGTCCTACGATAAATTAGTACTACGATTGGATATCTTAACTTAAGTGGTTTTATGCATATCAGCCCAGTTGATTAAATATCAGTTAAGTGGTTGTTTATAATCATAATCGTACTCATTGGATTTTCAAACTGGTACCATAATACAGCTGCATTTTTCGTTTGATTTAACAATACAGCGATTCGCAATGTCTCATTTGTAGGCACCGTTTCCGAAACGCTGTCATAGTTGTTCCTCTTGGTTTTCGTACTGCAGTGTTTGCAGCATGTAATCATCCCAATTTTGGAACAACAAAGGCCTGAAAATAAACAAGAAAATGTTTTCATAGTTTGATGGATCGGTCATTTATTCTATTGTCAAAAGATAGTTATTTACAAAGTATTGGAAATACATCAAATTGAACAAAACAATTAGTCCAGAATTTTGAAAATTGACTTACATCTATAAATTGATAATGAGGGTTGACTGAGAAAAAAACTTCACGAAAAAAGAGATAATTTCAGGTTTCTAATTTTGGACTCCATTTCTAATTAGCATCATTCCATGGGCCACAACGCCTGTATATGGGTTAGATGTATCGCCCAGTTGAAACTTAAGTCCAGAGTTTGCCTTTCCTACCATACTTTCGGTTTCTGCTCACAAATAAAATATTAAAAAAGTACAACAAAAATACCAAACTCAAAGGCAGACTTAAGTGGGGCAGTCCATATAAACTGAATATTTAGAGGCCTCGGTTGCCGAGTGGTCTAAGTAGTTACTACTGTAATCACTAGCCAGTCAACACTGAGGTTGTGAGTTCGAACCCTGCTTGTGCGGGTGCACTCGACTCCAATCTTAATTGACTAGGATTGTCAGTTTTCCTATCGAAGGTCGGTGGTTTTCTCCGGGCACTCCGGCTTCCTCCACCAATAAAAACTGGCCGCCACGAAATAGCCCAAAAGCGGTGCTTAAAAATGGCGTTAAAACACCAAAAAATCAAATCAAATCAAATCAACTGAATAGTTTTTTCCCACTGCTATCAATCAAAGGAATAACTGAAAAACAAATGCCATATTCCTGTCTTGGTACTGGCATTTTCGAAGAATATTATTTTGATGTAAACTTTGGTGGATATGTGTATCATCGGAAGGCATACTAAATTTCCTTATTTTATACGACTTAAGGAAACATTATAGGTCGAAGCCCAAAAGTTCCAAGTAATGAAATTGATATCATCCTTTCAAATGTTTTACAAACCCCATCAAGAGCTGTTGACCGGTCTAATATATCTGTTTCACAGATGAAGCAAGAGATGTACCTACTTACTTAACCACAATCCCGTCTTCTTCTTTTTTCGAATATTACATACCGCATTAATGTTATCATATTAAAAAACATTAACTTCCTACGCCGTTAGTTGAGTTCAGTTAACACTCTCGTATCAAAACAGTTTGAAAGCCAAATCGATTACAAAGTTAAAGATATATTCCTAAAATAGGAGGCTTTATCCGAGTGACAATAATGCTTGGCAATAAGAAAACATATGTTGTGTACAAGTTATCACTTTGTACAAGTTATAATGTGAACAATAAAAAACTACAAATTATAATTTGTATTTCAGTTTGTACAAATTATAAATTGTATAAAATCTGCATGTACGCATTATAATTTGTACCCAATAAAGCTCAATTTAACTTATACCTTGTACAATATTTGACATTGAATAATTTTTCAAATCAAATGATGAAAAAAATCATTTCAATTTAAATATGAATCAAACACACTGATAACTCTTTTTTACAATACTATACAATAATATACAATGCTCTTATTTGTTGGAGCAGGTAAGCGAACCATGACACCTCGAATTACACAATACATTATGTTTTATTTTGCATTTAAACCTGGAATTGTTACAACCGCCTTTACATTTGTCAAAGAGATAACCCTATGCACTAGTTTATGATTTTTTTTTCGCAGCTAATTTCCTCCTTTTTATGAGCTTTTCAATATCAGTAACTTGAACAAAATCATACTTCTCAAGCAAATGTATGGCTTAGTAACTCTGCTTCAATGCCTCATTTGCATTGTTAATTTAATAAATCAACTCATGCAATATGTCCTTAGCATAAAATATTTGTGCTTTGATGTGTTACTCTCAGCAAATTGCTGAACTTCTTGATATAATTTATCCATCCAGTTGATCCACAGTACTGGCTATTTTATTTGACACTATAACTTTTACCTTTGCAAATGACCATTCGAAAGACCAGTGAACAGGAGTTTAATCTTAACCTCAAGGCAAATGAATCAATCTGACTTTAACAGTTGCATTGATTTTACATGAACGGGCTAGGTTGTTTTTCTTAAACATTTTAATTCTTAAAATTCTTTGTTGATTTAAAGTTTTAACTCATATATATGTGTTAAATTGTTTATAGGTCATATTTTGTTCTCGTTTTATCTATCCGCTAAGCATATTAAAAACAAGAATGGGTCCATAGTACACGGATACACAACACGCACTATCATTTTCTATGTTCAGTGAACCGTGAAATTGAGGTCCAAACTCTTATTTGGCATTAAAGTAAGAAGGTCATATCATAGGGAACATGTTTACTAAGTTTCAAGTTGATCGGACTTCATCTTCATCAAAACCTACTTTGACAAAAAACTGTAACCTGAAGCGGGACAGACGAACGAACGGACGAACGGACGGACACACAGACCGAAAAACATAAGTGGGGCGTACAAAAGTTAAATCAAGCCTTATTTTGTACAATTATACTGTGTACAGGCACTGTTTATACAAATTATAATTTGTACAAACTTGAAATAAAAAACTGTAATTTGAATGTTTGTATTATACACTTTATAGTTTGTACAAAATGATAACTAGGACACAACATACATACTCAACTCTCACTTACCTTTGAGGAGCTCATCTGCTATGTATATAGGTGCATTTGGATCTTCTATATCACCCGGACACACGCTCTAGTAAGAGAGATACGATCAGCACAATATAGTTATTCGCTATATCTGTATTATTGGACCACACAACTAATCGTTTATATTATAGGGATGCAATTTTGACACATATATATATATATCTAGTTGGCATAATGTTGATGTTCATTTTTTACATTTCACATAACCCTGAAGCCTTTTCAGCAACACAATATATTCGACTACTGCAACTGAATGCCTTGAAAGCGCAGAATAACGCTAATGGTTTAGGTAAAAAATAGACATTATCTTCCTTCATACATTATGAATTGTGTATCAAATTATTTGAACAATTAGTATCAATGTGATATAAACATCTTCTGTATACATGTATATGTTATTATATTTCCCCTGTGTGAAGTGACATTTTAGCAGCGCCTGGATATGGAATACATATTTCCAAATTGATACAAAATTCCCACGTAAATAGATGGTTTTTGTTTTAAATTTCTACACGTGATGTTTACTCCTGAGTTAAATTGTAAGGTAGTATTTTTATATCATATACATTGTTTATATATTTTACAGGCATTTTCTAAATTTAGGCATTTTGTAAAATGACTGAAATTTCAGGCAACTTATGAAATGCCTATCTTGCCAGGCATTATATAAAATGACAACAAAAACCTAGTCATTTTGTAAAAGGACTGAAAAGTTGAGACTAAATTCAACAAATTGCCTGTTTAGTGTCAGGGAACTAGTAAAAACATTTGTAAAAGTTATACGGAACCCTGCGTCTTGCCTACGACTACTGTTGTCAGTGTAAAAGTGTAATGACAACTGTAAATAAGTAAGTCCATTATCAGTAAAATACAAATTAACAAAAAATAAAACTATTCTTGAGATGCTTTATTTTATTTTATTTTGAAGATTATCTTCTGTAAATGTTTCATAAAAATCTATGAAAGTATACTTTATTATATTAAAAAAAAATTAATCCAAGACTGTCTGTAAATTCAAATGAAAAAAAAGTTAATCTATCAGAAAAATACTGAAAAGGAAAAACAAAAATTCCAATGTTTGCTTTAGACATTATCTCTTATTTATTAATACTCCTCTGCCAAAGTTTTATTAAATTCAATGGTGATTTGACAAAAGTAATTGAAGCTCCTTTATAAGTAAAATACTTCAGTTTCAAAATTATGCTCTTGATACTGGGTGTTGGACATACACAAACTTCTGTCCAAATTTCATAAAATTCCATGAAAATTTGAAAAGCTTTAACTTAAGACCGAATCTGAAAGTTAACTGTCTAAAAGCTTAATCCATCTACTAGAAAAAAACCTGAAAATGAAAATAAAAGTTTGAAAAGTTTGCATCTGACATTATGTCTCAATCATAAAAAAAGCTTCAACCAAAGTTTGATAAAATTCTATGGAGGTTTGACAAAGTAATTGAAGTCCAATCATCAGTAAAGTACTGAAATTGAAAAGGTCTCTTTAATATTTTGCTCTAGATACTGTCATAAACAAGTTTCTGTCCAACTTTCATAAAATTCCATGTAGGTCTGACATATTTGCCTTTCACGGAAAGATCAAACGGGATTAAAGTGCAGAGCTTGGCACTCTCCTTACACAAGGTATCAGATTAGATGTCCCCATTCATAAACAAAAATGCAATTTATATATCCTGCACAACCAAACTGATTTCCATTTATAACATGAGTTTCAGAGACAAGCCTGTGGTTTCACCGTACAAGGCCGTGCCCAGTTGTACAATTATCGAGGTCAGTGCTTGCGTGAATTTTTAACAATTTAATATAGACTTTATTTATTATCATGATTATAATTAAAGTTCGTAAAATGCTAGCGTTAAGATTCATTAATTGTCATAGGTCAAACTGCTCTGTTGTTCAATATTTGCAATGACTCAGTTTCTGTAGACATTTTTTCTTTAAAATATATTCAGGAATTTTGTAAAATGCCTTTCAATTTTTCCAGTCATTTTGTAAAATGACTGGAAAAACTCAGTCAGTATATAAAATGTCTGAAACTTGCAGGCATTTTATAAAATGCATAAACTTTCTAGGCATTTTACAAAATGCCTTCATTTAGAAAAAGCCTTTAACGTATACATCATGAACAAGTATGATTAAAGTCCTTTCCCTAGGACATGTAGGAAAGAATGATTATAAAAATCTTAAGTCAAATCGAAATAAGACTTCACCTGCAGTATCTTGTCATCTTCTTTTCTGATCTCCTGAAATAAAAATATATGAAAGTTAAAACATTTTTTAACTGGAAAATCATGAATTCATTACATGCAACCACAGCATTCAATTATCAATACTTTTCATTAAATAATTTCTATGTAACATACGACAGATGAAAAGCAACACTTAACAAAATCGTATACAGATTTGCTTACATGAACTCAAAGTACGTATCTAATTGATAAAGAAAATAATAGATTAAGTGATCAAATTGTATTATAAATTGCAATTGGAAGACCTATATATCGCCAACCAGTATAATCACAGTGCGTCTACTTTAAACGCAAACGTATTAAAACTCAAAATTGGCTGTTCCGCCTTACGGTTATGCCAAACTTATTTATACAACTAGGTAAATTATGACATTTTAAGTAGGTTGTTCTCAAAGACAATACGGTTATCTCCATTCTAATGCAAAATAAGCATATCAGTCTATTCCAGTTAATTATTTCGATGTAAAATTTCAGAAAACGAAAATTCCGCCAAATGATGCTATTGTCTTTCGCAACTTAACAAGGTGACGTATTATGTACCGGACGATTTTACCTATTATGTCTTTTTGTTTTGATCACATATTGTTGTCAATATAATGGAATTTTATGCGACTGTCATACAAGTGAGTGGTTTAGCTAGCTATAAAACCAGGTTTAAGCCACCATTTTCTTCTTTAAAAAATGCCTGTACCAAGTTAGGAATATGACAGTTGTTGTCCATTCGTTTGATGTGTTTGAGATTTTCATTTTGCCATTTGATTAGTGACTTTCCGCTTTGAATTTTCCCCGGAGTTCAGTATTATTGTGATATTACTTTTTTCCATGCTTCTTGTACGCCTCATAATATAATAGAATTAGATAAGAAATGACATATTTGGGTGAAAAATGTATGTTTTTATTAATTTTTGAACAATATAGTATTATATATTAATAACACATAGCTGAGAGGGTGATAGAGCAGATTGTTACCCCGAGAAAACATTGTCTACCAAGGCGAAGTCAAGGTTGACAATGCTTTTTCGATGGGTACCAATCTTTCTGCTCTATCACCCTCTCAGCTACGTGTTATTTAATTTATTATACTGAATGTCATATCATTATTGACTTTTACAGTTGAATTTTTAATTTAAAGTATTTTACTATGACGTCACGTACATAATAAAATTGAGAATGGAAATGGGGAATATGTCAAAGAGACAACAACCCGACCAAAGAGCAGACAACAGCCGAAAGCCACTAATGGGTCTTCAACGCAGCGAGAAAATCCTGCACCCGGAGGTGGTCCTCAGCTGGCCCCTAAATAAAATTGTGTACTAGTTCAGTGACAATGGACATCACACTAAACTCCAAAACATATAAATGAACTAAAATTAAAAAACATACGAGACTAACAAAGGCCAGAGGCTCCTGACTTGGGACAGGCGCAAAAATGCGGCGGGGTTAAACATGTTTTGTGAGATCTCAACCCTCCACCTATACCTCTAGCCAATGTAGAATAAAGAAACACATAACAATAAGCACAGTGAAACTCAGTTCAAAAGAAGTCCGAGTCCGATGTCAGAATAGGTAACAAAAGAAACTAAGCAAAACAACGTTACGGGTATTAGAAAAATGAACAGAAGTTGAGAAAGATGTTAAATTCTTTTCATTTTGACAGTCAATGAAAAAAAGCTCTGAGCCAAAACGTAGAACTTAAGCGTTGTCTTTAATTACTTGATGTAGATTCAATTTATTGTCCTTTAAACTATCGATTTTTAATTGGTCTACACGAGAGGGTGATATTAAAACAAATTGTCTCCCGCTCAGCCATGGGATAGAGTATATTGTTTCCCTCGTATTAGCCAATCAAAATCTGGCATTTTAACGTGAAGTATATTAATCAATATTATCATATAAGGTTACACAGAACAGTCGAAAACAATATCGTGTATAGGGCTTTCACGGCTGAAAAAAATACCGTAAAAATAATCAAGTAGAAATACCCAACTCATAGTTAAATGAAAACTAATGTAAGGCTTCCATGAATTGTTTCTTGAACATGTTGAATAACCACTTTTAAAGACATTTTTATGTGTTTTGGCACTGACATGATTAAATTTTATTACATACCTTTCTCAAATTCTATGTTGATAAATTTCTGATCAGGTACAAACTAAGGCATGTCGACTAGTGGTTACCCCTTTTTGTCGAGGTTGATTTTATTTCTATTTTGTTGTTATGTTAATGTTTCGTTTTGTCATTTAGCACGACAAGTTTTCAAATATTTATGCATCATATATTTTTAATGTTTTGAAGCGCTGTTGGAAGCATTTAAATTGATAAATTGTTCGTCTTTTTAAACAAAAGTCGTACTTCTATATCAGATAAGACCCACATGTTAACATTATTTCATAATAATCTATTTATTATCAAATATAATCACTCTAAAATAGTGTTAAAGAAAAGAGTCGAGCGTTGCTGCCTTCAAATATTGTTATCTAGTTCTTATTGAGATTCAACAGCCTTGCATGTGGTATTTTTTAAATATAAAACAAAATTATCAAAAAACACAAGAAAATCATACCTGCTTCCATAATCCCTGGAAGGTAGTATTTGACATTGAGAAATTTTCGTTACTGTTAAGTATCTGTTCCATGATATCTATCTTTCCAACATGAAACGAAGTGACAAATGCATCCTAAAACAGTAAAAAAAAAAAAGAAAAGCGTTTGATAGTATGCAAATCAAAATATGTTAGTATTAGACATGTTTAAACAAGAATTGGAAGTTAAGGATGTTAGCTTTTCTTGTTTTTGAACTTTTGCCAGAAATTTGGAATTCTCTGGTTTTATCTATGAAGTGCCATTAAAAAATGTTCCCGGCTAAACCCTACTTTATTACATATAGTTTAAAAAACCACATTAGAAAATTCTATAAAATCGTTGTTATTTTTTCATAGTTTTTGAAAGAAAAAGGATGCCAATGCTTAATGTATGAAAAGTCTAGAGAAAATTATTTCCCGCCAAATTTTCAATGGTTTATATCTCAAATACAAGCACACGGACCCTTCATTTTTTCTACTTTTTTAAGTTCCTTTATTTATATACCATAAAGTTGTAACAGTGTTTTAAAAAGCTTTTTATTTTGAAACAGAGTAGCGAACATCCTTTATACTATATTGCAAGCTTCCAATATATTGGAAATGTGGCAAGCAAATATTGCGCAATCTTCTTTTGAAATAATGTTAAGTTAAATGTTTGGATATTTCATTTAAATCTTTTGTTAAGGTAATTTATGCATTAACGCGTGTCATGAATCTACTTGATAGATTTACATGGAATTTGCTATCAACCTTGATAAACAATGTGTTCAAAAGTAGAAATTGAGTTTTCGATTATTTTAACATAGATTATGTATTTGACTAAGAAATCTTAAAGCATCGGGCATATCTGACAAAATTAATCTAGATTATTATACACTTTTTTTGGGTAACCTATACATTTGTGTCTGCTTTCTTATAAACACGACCTGGAAAAAATGAAAACGTGTCCATTCCAAAGAGATAATCACATTTCATATAATGTTGTTGATCATCTTGTAACACATAGTTATGGAGAATAGGTTAAATTGACATAAGGGACATTCGTGCAAAAAGTTAATGTTTTTATGACAAATGTGATTCTACATGTTAATGCTTGATTTTTTTTTATACTTCAAATTTCATTAAAAAGGTGTGTAGAGTACTTGCATGTATCTTGATAATATTGTTGCAGCACTTAACGAACTGAATTACTACTGATAGAGATACCTTTTATACGCGCTTTGCCTGCACGTGAGTGGAAACTATATATCAAATATTATGAAGTAGGTCAAAGCCGTCTCAAGATTCATTATATCGTTCGATCATTGGGAGAGAAAAAGACATTGAGAGAGAGAAAGACATTGAGAGAGAGAGAGTCAAATATAGACAGAAATATTTGCCAATAAACTTCAAATGTTGTAAATTATTCAAAATTCTTTACTTGATATAAACTAAGAGTCAAGTCATGTAGTTGGATTTAACGATCTGTTGATGATTCAATGACCTTCAACAAAGGATCGAAACAGCGTTGACGTTCTTTCCATTAACAATTCAAACTTTTCTGACTGGGTTCAATTAATTTATCCTCCAGAACAAGAAATTTAAGAAACAACAGACAAGGCTGCCTCTGCCTCAGCTTTAGACTTATACCTCGAATTTCACATAAAAGGTCATCTCAGTTCCAAAATCTATGATAAACAAGACGATATTAATTTTGAAATAATCCCCATTTTAGAAGCAAAATAAAAACTTCACCAACATATGGGATATAAATTTTCCACTTTTTCGGTATTCAAGAGCGTGCATCTGCTACTCAGACTTTGTAAAACGTCATCAGTGTTTGAGCCGAAAGTTGATGAACCAATGGTATGCCAAAAAACGTCTCGTCCTTTATCTTAAAAAGATCATCAGTAGATACCAAGACCTTGTTGATAAATATTCCGTATCAACTTCAAAAATAATACACGATGGTCTTGAAGTATAGATTCTAGGTCCTGGCGTTGTTTATCACACATTCGTTGTTAATATGATGGAATTTTATGCAATTGTCATACAAGTGTAAGGTTTAGCTAGCTATATAACCAGGTTTTATCCACCATTTTCTACATAAGAAAATGCCCGTGCCAAGTCAGGAATTTGACAGTTGTTATCCATTCGTTTGATGTTTTAGAGCTTTTGATTTTGCCATTTGATTAGGGACTTTCCGTTTTGAATTTTCCTCGGAGTTCAGTATTTTTGTTATTTTACCTTTTTTGTACATTTTTGAAAATAATTAGTTCATGTCAATAGTTCATGCATTGCAATAGCATGCATTGCAATAGCATGCATTGCAATATCATGCATATTCGACAGGATCGGCTCATTTGGCAAATTTAGAACAACTTACTTGGCGGTTTTCGTCCATTATGTTTTCCTGTCCATCTGCCTCATTCAAACTGTAGCCAGCAAACAGTTCTCTCCTGGTAAGACCATCAATGTTCGCAACATAATTTGAGATATACTCTCCACAGTTCAAAGAAAGATATTCTGTCATCATAATTTCCTCATCTTTAAAGATTTACATGTAAGTAAAATTCATCAATTAGCACAAATATGTGCAATCTGTATAGGGTACTTCTGTTATTGTAAAGATACATTATCCGAGTTTATTATGTATGCCTCAAGACAAAATTAAAAGAAATTGAAATGGAAAGAATTTTTAAGAAAAGAACCAAAACCTTTTTTTTTTAAATAATCATGAGTAAATAGTTGATGAATGAGCAAAAACAATTAATATGTTATCATGACATAATTATTGCTGCAAATAAATGGTGCTCTAAATAATGAAACAATATTAAAGGTTAACATTTTTATATAAGTTGAACATGAATTGCAATGAGCTATGACAACGATTTAAATGCTCATTGCTCGTGTAAATAAAATTAATGAAGCCGAATACATCTTTGCTTCATGTAATTGCAAACGTTAAACTAAAACTCTTCAACTTTGTGACAGTGGTAATACGGTATGAGTCAATAATTGAACAGAAAATATTTACAAATCTGGAGCAACTTATTTTCTCCGTTTCTTTTCTTCTAGTTTATGTTTTTCTATCGTTAGTTTTGATAATAATGCTTCTATGACCGTTCTGGTTTTTTTCGCTGTTTTGATTTCGGCAATATTGTTGTCTCTTTTTTTCCCCTATTTAATGGTTTCGTTTGTCTTTTGCTATCTAATGTTCATTTTCTTAAAATGTATTGTCAAATAATGTCTAATTATATCATGCCATAACAGAATCACTTGCTACTTGTAGTAGGCTACAGTCTATCAATAGCTGCTAGTAGTACGATCAAAATACAACTTGTACAAGAAACGATGTCAGTGTGTAAGTGTAATAAACGTTGTACAAGTGAGGAGAAAGATACTAAAGGGAAATTCAAACTCATCAGTCGAAAAAAAACTGGTTTTGAGTGGCAAAAAAAGATAAAGACGAAAAGACAGCAACATTATATAAAACACAACTAAAGACTGAGCAACAGGAATCCCACCATTAACCGGGGGTGATATCAGGTAACAACTCTAAAGGCTGATGTATACACATATGTTAGACTATGCATTACATATATCATGTATAAAAGGATTATAAATTTTACTTTTTGTATTTCCTTTAAAATTGTTGTATAAACATAACAAATAATGATGGGATTTCTTTTTTATTCTCCGATTTTGTAAATCGATATCATTTTAACGACAAACCAGCATGCCACTTATTGGACTTTAAAGTGTAAACTACGTCTGAGATTTGATTAATAGCCGTTAAGTTCTCTATTGGAAATAGTATACCAAGTTTTTCTTCAAAAGACCATGCTCTTATTATTCCGTCTGTTATTCTTTCCCATAGACTATCATGTTCGTCAACTTTGATGTCAAATACTGAAATCTGCAAAAAGTCAATATAGACAAAGCGTTAATACGTTGTTAATATTTTCAAGAGAAACAGGGGAAGGTAAGCCATTATTTTATACAATAGTCATTTTTACATCTTGTTTGTGATGTTTATAAGTACGATGTAAAAGTTGTATACAAAAACAAGCTATTTGTACAAGATTATGTTACATTGATTAACAACCCAGCGTCAGTTTTCAGTTTGTGACGAGCGTTTTAACTGACGTTACCCATAATGGATATAATTTGCGTCGGTCGAGACAAGAAAAAAATACTGTAACAAAAAGATCTCGTCACAGATACATGACAGATATGTCGATTAAAGTTAATACTTGATCAAGTTATGTGGTGTCAACTTTCCAAAATCTTAAGAAACCTTTAAAAATGATCAACTTGTTCTGAAAAGTAAACAATTTTGAAAAAAGTTTAAAATACAAAATCAACAATCCCAAGTTTTTCTTGTTGTTTCAAATTTTTATTTCGTGTTTCTCGCATGACATATTAAATTCAGCACCATATCTTATGGACAAAAGGAAATAGTTTAGTTACACCGCCATCTCAATATACGAAAACGACAAAATGATAAACAACACTCTACAAAACAACAGTTTTTATAGACTGTTACGTACTAATTCGACAAAGAACATGTATTAAGTTGAAAGCAAAAACGTTTTTTAACTATATATAATTATAGCCAAGTCAAAAGAAAATCAAGGGATATCAACAATCAGGCAAATTCTGTAGGTGCCTAGCGTAAAGGAACGGATTGAGTTTGATGCATAACAGCAAAACCTTCAGTTAATTTACGTCAAAATACTTTTAGGGAAATATTGAAAAGTAACTAAATTTTTTTCATGCGAGCCTACTTTGTTACACGATTCAAGATTTTTCTCAAGTATATGAATTTCGATTTTCATATATTTATATTTACAAAATCTATGGCTATACTCATGAAAACGTTGAAACATTGCATCGAGAAAACAAAAATCTTTCAGCTTGATTTAACTTGTTATACGGTTTAAGCATACATATTTTACACATGTGATGCTTTTGTTTAAGAGCTTGCCCATGCGGTTCAACGAAGATCACAGCCTGTTTTGGCGTTTTTGTTGTTCTCTCTTCTGTTTTCGGTGTTGTTTTGTAGACTGCTGTTTGTCCTTTCGTCGTTTTTCATATTTTTGTTTTATTGTGTTATTCGTTTTTCTTTGGCTTAAGAGATTGAGTATCTTTTGTTATTTTGCTTACTAGTTATGGGGTTGTTAAAGCGTTAATCATTCTCAGATTTTAGCTTTGCGATTTGTCTTTCAGTCAACGTTGTTAAACCAAATTAAAATTACAAACGATCTTTTTTCGTATACATCAAAATGAAAAATAAACTTATAATATCAGGTTATTAATTGTAAATTGTGCATGGTTTGAGATAACACATTGATTAAACTCGAATATTCGATGATGATGTTGCAAACATCTATACATAACAAAAAAAAAAACTGCACGAATAATTTGGAGTATGCTTGTATTGACATATTTAATTTATGGAATAATAAACACATTTAATTAAACACATCATGTTATTATTTTCATGATATTATGCTGAAGTACAGATAGAATGTACGTTTGAAGCCAATTAATATCATATATCATCACTATTTTATATTACACATGCATCAATTTTCTGTATGTCATTATGTCATTAAATAGACTTATGTACCATCCAATCCTTTGCAATGATCATTTTGAAGACTTCCAGTATTTTGTTAAAATGCCCTTTCGTGAAACGTCTTGTTATCAATATTGGTAATTCCTTCTTTAGTTTTGAAAAGCTACAAATATCATCAATGGTACAAGCATTGAATTTTGACATTTAATGCAAACATAGTACATAAATTTAAATTTGATCATTTGTTTTGAAATAATAATAATACTTGCTTAGAGTTTCAGACGTCATAACTAAAATGAATGTATAATGTGAAGATTGTTTTATATAAAACGAGTTCTAATTTCTTCATTAAAATGATAAACAATAGAGTTGGATAACACGTCATGCAATTTCTAATCTGTTCTTTATAGTGTGAAAGCCTCATTTCGAAATGTGTTTTAAGATTTTTGATTTGTATATATAATATAAACACGTCCTTGTCAGTGTCATTGAAATACTTGCGGTCTTTCCTTTTTCATAAATATTGTCTGTCGGATTTGATAATGTAATAAGACAGTTGAACGTTAACAAATTACTCTTCCAGGCATAAAGCAATCAGGTCAGCAGCTCCGCCAGTTCCTTTGACAACCACTACGGATATATCACTGTATATTGCTCTCATAACATGATCAAGTGTGTCTAAATCACCATTCAGCACCAATAAAGCAACCGGAACTCGAATATCTAAGTCAGGAAAGAAGATGCATACATACATATTAAAACTTCAAAACATACAAATTAATCGAATATCATATAATCAAACTGTAATGATATATATTGAATATCTCCCAGTCTCTACGAGTCTAAAAAAGAACCATAGTTTTTTTGGTTTACCATAAATTGTTCATAGATCGACTTTAAAATCTATTATCCTTTCTATTTGAAATATTTACTATAATGTTAATCTATTTTGTCAGTTTGTCAGTATAACTCGTGTTCAACAGTTATGATATCTTTCAAGTCTAAGTACATTATTGAGAAAATCTGTATTACCTTGACACTGTGGACTTTAACTTATTAATGGTTTATTACAATAATATTACTTTTGATTTTCCTTATGAAATAAATCCCCGAAATCTACCAAGTTTGAAAGTTCGATAAACATAAACATAAACATCCCTGACGCAAACAACAAAAATCGTTAGGGGAAGCTTCTCCATAAATAATTACGAGTATTTAATATCTTAGAATTATATCTATAACGCGGATTAATTTTAATGGAGGGTAGTCAATCTCGGTCTTCTTAGATTCATTCTAACGATATGGGTTTCAGATTTGTACTTTAGTCTTCACAACTATACGATTAGTCTGTTTTGTGACTGTTCATGCTCATATTACTTTATTTAAGTTTGTTCTCAGTGATTTTTAGGCAAGACCCCTTTTTTGGACATTGTGGTTTTTTTTCTCGAACTCGTTCCTTCATAAAATTATGTAGTTCTAAATTTGTTAATAGCACTATATTAGCATCATATACATCCAATGTAAAAGTAAAATACATTTTCTTCAAGATCAGAATGGCTGTTTCATAATCATTATCTTACTTGACTGCATTTTTGATTCTGTTTCGCCTTCTTTAAACGATACCTGACCTTCTGAGTTGATATACTTTTCAAGTTCCAGAAGCTGGAAGTTATATTATCAATATGTTTGTTACATAATAATACATAGAATATAACTGTTTTAAGCAACTTTAGTGTTTGCTTTTCTAACATACATTATATAAAATATGTGTTTTTACCTGTATTAATTATCTTTTTTAATTCAGAATACACTCGTATAAACAGATCGTAAGAAGCTACAATCTAGTAAAAAAACTTTGGAAACACGAAGGTGCAAAGAAAGAATCTCTTAACATTCTGTACTGTATTGATAGAAATGTTCATTGGAGAATATTGTAAAAAACTTGATATTAAACTATTGGATAGATTGTAACGACAAATTTCAGGTTATAGGGCTTTTTGACAAATATTTCAACATACATTTGAACAAGATTCATGATACAGGTTATCGATTGTTTTACAAACCGTTTTGGCTAAATTAAAAACTTTATGTCTACTAGACCACACTAATTGTTCCCTATCATATCTTGGTTCTCTCAAATTTATCATGTTTATTATATTTTCTTACTTTGAGTAACACAACGGTTGCTTATAGTAAGCGTACCTTTCCGGAGCATCGGAGACCACCAAAAACTTTGATAAGGGTTCGTATTCTTCGGTTTTTAGTTTTCCATTTAGTGTTTTGTGAACGTGTTTGTCCTTTTGTCATATCAAAATGTTTGACATTTATGTTCATTAGAAGTTTTGATTAAACCGTAAAAAATAAACTTACATCTTTAAAGTGTTCACTTGTATAACCTGTATGCTCTTCGTCGTTCTGGAGAAGATAAGTATTTTGGAAATGTAAGATTCTGTTAATAAGATCATGCAAACATATTAACACAAATTAAAGACCATCAACCATAAATTGATAATTGCATTTTCTTATAGATATTCGTCGTTTTCAATGGACAAAATAAACAGTTACAAAAACCATAAAGTTTTAAATCTCATGTTTGAGACACAGATGTTGGGCCATGCAGTGTATTAAATTGCATGTCTATGTATAACATGCACTGAATATGCAAGAGCTGTTATTCCAGTTGACGTATATGGTATCACTCGTTTTGAATCTAATATAATGCAAGCACATTTACTGCTGTGTCCTTGTGTACATATTGGCAATGTGTACATTCGAAAACAATTGTGCTGAACTGCCTTCATCTTAAACTTACCTTACTCGTGTAAATGGTATCTTTAGATGTGAGTGATAAGCTTTTATATCTAAATCATTATATAAATGTAACATTTATTTTTAAATGCATACCTAGCTGATCTTCTTATCATTTTTATCTGGTAAAAATATCATGTATTTATATTGGTCACTGTATGTAATTAAAAGGTTGCACAACCATGTCATTCATATAAGGCAATATATAACGGTTCACAGCACCTTTGCGGATTTTGCCTTAAATTACTTAATGCTAATATTTTCACTATATTTATTATAAACGATCATTTGTTCATATACTAGCCTCCAATGGAAAACCTTTTGAACAACAGGTCGTTTATGATAAAGTAAGTTGAAAAATTGTCGTAGTTTTCTTACTTGGCAAAATGAAATGATTCTGTCTTTTTCTATATTATCAAAATTGCGCTTTCCGATATCGATGAAATCAAAACTTCCTGTCAAAATATACTATAAACTACTTACTGTTTTGTGTTCTTTTAGGCTGTCCTGACAAAAAAAAGGATTTACTTTACTGTAGATTATAACCATAATAGTTTTAAGTTTAACATGTATTTAAATTTGTCTTCTGTTTTATTTGTTTTTTTTTAAATGTTTTGTTTAATTTTTGCTGTACAGTCAAAACAAGCTTAAACTAGGCTTATAATTTTGATCGCCAGACGCGTGTTTTGTCTTCTTAAAACTTATAAGTGGCGCCCAAATTTGAACAGCGAAAAGGCCTAAATCAAATGAATGAGTATAGAGCTCTACCAAACCGATAATTCGAGAAATTTTACCGAATACAGCTTAGGCAATCTATACATTCAAGAAGAAAAACCTAAGCGCTTGAAGTAATTCAATATTGTAAATACAATAACATTATAAAACGTGAACATATCTGTAGGTGTCCTGTGAACACAAAAGTGTTGATTACTTGGCTGGTGAAACCAACGGGGTTGAAATCAGGAGTTTTATCGACCAAGGGGTTCATCAAATATCGTTGGAGCCAAACATTAAAACCAAATCAAATAAGAAGTTGTAGAGAATTCAAAATACAAAAAATGATAAAAGTTTGGTTGATAAATTGCCTTAGTTGTATTTATAACATCTTTAGTAACTGTTAATATAATATAGGTCTTTAAAGTTTATAGTTTTTGAAAACACCACTGTCACGACATTGTCAATCTCGGTGTGCTGTGCGTTTACGATTGTCTGTGAAGAGCGTTAAGATGTTTCAGATTTTGTGTATCAGTCAATGTTAGGCTATTTTTCATAACTGTGTACGCTTATAATTCCGTTGGTTTTTTCTCGATGAAACCTTTGGTACATTTTACAAAGACTAAGTTCTAAACTCCGACATGCAAACTTGAATGTTGATGATTCAGTATGGTTCGATAACTTGTAACATGATTGCTTGTGTTTTGTTTTCCTACATTCTGGCATGAAACATGACTGATGAACTTCGTGTATGAAATGCACATATGCAAAATGCAAAAATATACATAACATATCTTACAGAAAGATGCATTGAGGTGTATCCATATTTTTGTGGTAAACCTTCCATAAAACAACTCCTGCTAACAACACTTTTTACAAAATCTGTGTTTTTCTCATGAAATAAAAAACCACATCCTATTCAAGAGAGAAACAAAGTTGTCAAACATAAATATAAATGCATTGTGAGTCCTTACAAGACATTTGCTATAGCGCGTTGTAAAAAGTGATACAGGAAAATAAGAATATGTTTATTTGAGTATAAATATTTTCAAATAGAATAACTTCAAAGTGGATAGGCGAAAAGAGAATTTGAACTGAAATTAAAACAGATTTTATATGTTTATTTTGCAAAAATGTAAAACACTTGCCAAATGTCACATAAGCATCTGTCAAAGTGGAACTGAACAAAAGAAAGAGTGGCACTCCCCTAACATTTGACAATACATACATGTCTCTATTTCGATTGGTCCCGTGCTCGTGTTAATTGGTAATATTTTAAAGGATAATGTTGGTTTTGAGCGTACACGTAGTTCCAGAAATACAGCTGGTACATATGCTTTCATATTTCGGTTAATAATGCATGCAGTCTTGTAAAAAGGTTAGCCGTGTCTGTAATGACATTTTTGATTAATGAGCGTAATATATGTATGATTGGTAAATAATTAAGTCAGGGATTTCGTTACCACAAGGGTACCTGGGGAATAGAAATATAGTCACTACAGGTCTTCTTCCGACTGGCTGTAAAACCCTTGCCAAAGCAGACGTCCGTTTGGTTTTGCAGGATGTACAACTACAGTCTGGCCAGAATCGGGACGTTCAATCCGATATCTTGTGTAGAGAGAGTTCAACGCTATCCTCACATCAAAATTCTTGTAACAAATCTGTTAAGGGTCCGTGGGTGGTCTGTTACCAGGCAAAATTTCTGTTTTTCCAGTGATAGTCCAAATTTCTCCCACCTTCAGTCACGAAGGCTTCTATATTATGACCCACCTATTGTATTTATTGTTATTTTGTTCTCGTCCTAAACATACATTAAATATTTGCCACTGGACTTTAAGCATCCATCAAACAATCATTCGTTATCACTTATTACTTTGAACCGTTACTAAATTCTTAAATAGATACAAAGATTTGGTTTGCAAGTTCGGCTGTACTTATTTCAAACGGAATAGCACATCCTAGATTTTACGGTGATGTTGTTCACCAAGCCACGAAATTTAGAGACGATCCGGGTACACTTATCTATTCTTTTACATGTTTAATTACACTTATTCTAAAAGATTACCAATTGCACACTGTAATTAGATCTTTGAATATTGTTTTGTTGGTATAAAATGTTAATTTTGTAATCAGTAAATTAAAACTGTACTAAATATTAATAATATTCACACATGAACTTTCACGATCTACAA